GGCATACTCCGAGTAAAATTGTTCTCTGAATTGTTTTTGGAACTCTGCCCAGGTTCCAATCTTGGCGCTCCCACGCCTGACATCAATACACATGTGCTTCCACCACAATAAGGCTACATCAATGAGATACATAGTAGCGGTGCTTACCTTTATCACCTCGTTTTGCATGCACATGGCCTGAAAGTACTGCTTCATACCCTAAAGGTAGTTATCTACTTCCTTGGCCGCCCTAGTCCCCTTGAACTCCTTAGGCTTGGGGACATCCAATTTGGATTTAGACAGTCCAGCAAACATGCCATTCCCAATGGCAGTCTTGCAAGCAACGAGCTCACTGGTAAGCTCCTCTATCCGCTAGTGTATGGCCTCCATGCCATCGTGCAAGGTCAGCACTTCAACCTCCAAGGTCTGATTCTTTTGGGTGAACACGTCCAAGCCTTTGTTGAGAGCAACTTTCAGCTCACTTTGGATCTTCTCCCCCATAGAGTCTAGTGATGCAATGTGAGTCTCTACTTCCTTAAGCTTCTCCCCCATGTCACCCATGGTCACCTCCACTTGGCCAGCCTACCGTCCATGGTAGACCAGATATCTTTAGAACTGGTTTTTCTCCTTCTTCCACACCCATGCTTCTGGGTCTCTGGTTGTTGGTTAGCAGCGTCACTTTGGGATGCCATCTCCTTAATCACGATCTAACCTGCACAACACAAACACGCAGAATCGAACTTGCTCTGATACCAACTGTCACGGGCTCCGACCTTAGACTCAGAAACTGTGCGGCCTTAGGCTTGGAATCTCCTCCTTTGTGCCTAAGTCAATCTAAAACACAAGTATGCGGGCACTAGAACAACGAGAAAGGCTGATTACGCAAGTTAAAGAGAAACAGGATAAGAAGGTAGAATTCTGAAAATGCTCTTGTATTCACTGAAACAAAAGTGTTTAATGGTGTACAAATGAGGGTGGAGCAGCCCTCTATTTATAGTTGAGGCTCCAGCTACACTTAATGGTAATATCCCTAGAATAAAGGCTAAAATCAAGGGATTATACGGATTACAATCAATCAGGATGCTAACTCCTGATTTTCAAGGTCAACCAAATCTGTCAGGATGCTCCTGTTGATCCTGCCTGCTTCCAAAAGCTTCCCTTGCGTGTCCAGCACCTTAGGCCCTTCTAGATATGGTGCGGGTAGCTTGTATGCCAGACCTTGGTCTCATGGGCTGGCCTACAAGTTGGGCAGGCATTCTGAACTCGTTTGCTAGGCTTTGCGCATCCATACCCGCCAGCACGTTTGGTCTGCTGGCCTCAACCTCTGGCTCGCCTGTTGGTGTGCTTGATGTGCCTAGCGTACCCACCCAGGACGTGACACTAGCATCTGCCAAAGAGATGTTTGAGTTGACAACCTAGACCAAGGGTTGGCTTGTGCCGATAGTGGTCAAGACAAGTGCCCATGTCATGGATTGAGACTGAATTTATGACTCATTCAACTCTAGGACCAAAGAATGAACTCATTTGGCATCCTAGATCAGCCTTCAACTAGATCGTGCATGGACATTCAAAACTCTGAAACTGCCCCTAGCTATTGCTAGTCTAGGCTGCACATAAAGTATTTGGTGGAAAGCTAAAGAGAACAATAAAGGTAGGCAAAAGTTAACTTGTATTACTTAAGTTATGGTGTGTACAATGAGAGTATGGGCACCTCCTGTTTATAGCTAAGGTCCCTTTGAATCAATGGCTAACTTTGTTCCTATCTTAGGGCTTACAAATAGTCATATATATATAAGACATTACAATACGATTACATTGGATAGTTCAAATTTTACATCGGCTCTATTAGGAAAAGAGTTTGAACTAGCTTGGACTCCTTCTTCAGTAGTGCTTGTATAGGACCCCTCCTTAGGTTGTGCTTGTATCGATTTCGCCATTGGTTGGGCTTACTCTCTGAGTTCATTTTACCATTCACACATCAATTTTGGGTCAAGGTCATGCCCCCAAGATTGCCATTGCACCTCTAGGCTAGGTCTCCATTGCATTTTGACTTTGTCTGTGTTACCTTAGAACCATTCCCTATCTTGGCGAGAACCCCTAGGCCTAGTCTTTTTCATTAACCATGACATTCTACCCCACTCATTCTAGCAATGGCCTCATTGCTAAGGGGATGTTATGCCCAGATTGCATGCTTATATACATGATAGCTTTATCTTCTGCCTCTCAAACCCAATTTCCCATATGTTAGTCCCATATCTGAACAAGTACTTTGCTAGTTGTTCTTTTGAGTATCATCAACCCCATGCTATATTGGTCTTTTTTGCCTACATGCCTGATGTTTCCTCTACTTCCTTTAAGTTGCCCATTTCACATTTTTTTAAAGGGATCTGGCTGCACCTTAGGACACATGCTATGGCACTCTATTATCACTTTTCCCTCATCTCCTAGAGAAGTTTTGCCCTCTCGATAGAATTGAAAAGCACTGAGTCACATTACCTTCGGCTCCCCTACTGTTCATCATCGCTACTACTCTTGTCGATGGATAGCTCTTCTACCTATTAATGGTTGAAAACTTTGCACATCTTTGGCACTCATTGACTCTGTGGTAACTACCACATAAAAAACAACTCAAGGTCTTTTTATCCTTGCCCCTACTGGTAGCACTATCAGCCTTGCAAAATCGAGGCTTCATATAGCCCCTTCCTCCCATGAGGAATAAACACCGATGTCTCCCCTACTCTGGCTATTTCCCTAGGCTTTGGAGACTTGGTGCACTTGACCTAAGTCTTTGATTCCATAGCAACATTGGTTTGGCTTGACTCCTACATGTCCCTTTGTTGTAGCACAGTTTTTACTCTTAGTTTTTAACCATCTAAGAAATGCTTAGGTACTACCACATTAGGTCCTAAGCCCAAGCTAGTAACTACGACAGCTTATAACATAGCGTGATCAACCCTAAGCCTTATCAACTCCTCTTGCAAGGTTCACACCATGGCATCTAATGCTTTATTATACTTTATAAGCACCTTTAATGCCTCATTCAAGGATCATTCCCTGTCCTCAAACCTATCCCTCAAATTAGCAATGATCACTTTGTACTTTTACAGTTAAGTGTCCAAGGACATCACTATGTCTCTTGATCTAGTCTTCTTTCCTTTGTCTATAGGTGGGCACTCATCAAGGCCTTTGTTGTGGCCTTAGTCTAGTTATCCCTAGCCATGCCATAACCCCAAAGCACACTATTAGTCATGAATGCACAAAACCAAAGAGATTACCTCAACCTTTTATGCACTCTAGTGATCTCGTCCTAGTTTCCACAAACTAGCAGACTTGTCATCAGTACAACACATCAGCACACATAGACTACAGGCACCAATCTACACACTGGCTTAACACATCCTGCACTCTCAGTCAGGCACTAGTCTGCACACCTACACAGCATGCCTAACACTCTTACAGCACCATAGCAGCAATAAATCAAACACTTGGTTTGCACTCCTACATAGCTGTACCATGTACACTAGGGGGTGTACCACTAGCACATAAGTAGAAAAACAACCTAGGATGCCTACACCATATAATCAAATGCCCACAACAATGTATCCAAACCTTCACCAAGGTTAACTCTATTTCTAGTAGCACCTAGCACTTATAACCTCCTCTAGACCAGCTTTTGTTAACTCTAAACTAGCTTCAAACTTGCTCTGATACCACTTGTCATAGGCTAAGACTCAAGCTCTGACTTGTGTGACTATAAGACCAAGGAATGAACTCATTCAACATCCCAAATTAGCTTTCAACTGGACTAGTCTATGGACACTTGAAACTCTATAGCCAACCACCCTAAGCTACTGCTAGACAATGTTGTGCATGAACTATTTGATGGAAAGCTAAAGAGAACAATAGAGACAAGCAAGAGTAAACTTGTATTACTCAAGTTGTGGTATGTACAATAAGGGTAGAGGCACCTCCTATTTATAGCTAAGGCCTTTTTGAATCAGTGGCTAACTTTGTTCCTATTTTGGGGCTTAAAAAAAGTCCAATATATAATAGGAGATTATAATAGAATTACATAGGAGAGTTCTAGTTTTACATTGATTCTATCAAGAAAGGAGTTTGAACCAGCTTGGACTTTTTCTTTAGTAGTGCTCATGTGGGGCCTCACTTGGAGCCCATGCTTGGATCAGTTTTACCCATGCCTAGGCTCACTCTCGTGCTCGCACCTAGATTAATTTGAAAGCTATTGAATTGGATCCATTGGTCTGAGCTCTCTAAGCTCATTTTAGCCCCTGAGCACCCATTCGGGTCATGGTCTTACCCTTATGACCACCTTTATGCCTTTAGGCTTAGTCTTCTCTGCATTTTGGCTTAGTCTTAGTTGCCTTAAAATCACTCTCTATCTCGATAAGAACCCTTAGGCTTGGTCATTCTCGTAAATCATGACACTTGCACCAAGTGCTAGCATCTAGTGATGGTGTCCAAGGTAACATCTTGCACTAAGGGGCCAGATCTACTGATGAGGGAACATTCTGTCAGCATCTACCAATGGTGTTAGATGTGATTACCTATAGTAACTAAAGCCAGATGTTGTTGATTGCATTTGAGACAATAGCTCACACCAAGGACTAACATACGTTGATGGGGTTCAAGGCAAGCGCCTATACCAAGGGTGAGCTTGGCCTTATAACAAATACCAAGGGCATTTGGTTATCATTTAGTTGGACATTCAAGGGAAGGATGTCATTGCCCGACCAAACGGTTACAATGGAAAACACCATTCATCCATAACTTCAAGGGGTGCAATGTAAAAAAATGAAGTGAAAGGACTTTAATAGGTGGGAAAAGGAATGAATCAAAGCAACAAAGGGTTGATCTCAATGGATCATGACATGAAGGCCACCCTACCACTTACAATACCCTATCACATATTTTAAGTCCACTGCAAAGGATTTTACCCACAGCTCGATGGGAATTGAGCCCTAAAAAGGCTTGTAAGGCTTGTCCTCTGTGAGGTTGCACCTATGACATATGCCCTTGGGGGCCATGGGCCCATACTATGGGTCAACAATCGAGTGACAGGTGCATGCATTGCTTCTAGCCCAGATTCTAAGTTAAAGGTGTTCAGTCATAATCCAATGCATGGTAGTTTCATGCAAGTAGCTTTTCAACTAAATGCGATGACCAATTATGGGAATCAATGGTTCCTCTCGTACTAGGTTGAATTACTATTGTGATGTTACCATTAGTATGGTCCTGTCTCATGATAGTTTAAACCCAACTTACATTCCCTACTGGTGGGTGAACAATCCAACACATGGTGAATTCTACTTTGCAATGATAGGAAGAGCCAACATTAAAGGATCAAAAACCAACATCACTATGAATGCTTGGCTACCACAAGCTAGTTATCCTTATGGCAACTATTCTGACACCTCTAGCTTCAAATTTTGAAGGTCTAAAGGATTGATTGGTCATGCTTTCACAATTTGTATTCGTACTAGAAATCAAAATCAAAAGAGCTTTTACCTTTTTGTTCGGCACAAGATTTATGTTTTCGTTAAGCTCATTTTAGGACACCTACGTTATCTTTTAACAAATGTGCTGGCCTAGGCAAACTCTCCACCTAACAATGCCTTTTGCCCAGATTGATTGACTGAAGCCAGCCTTAGGTCCAAAAGAAGGGGTCGTGCCCCACCTCCAATTCATTTAATAAGTAAAATAATGTTAAAAGTAGTGTTATTTCAATTTCACTTGAGGGGTTCCACTTATCCTACTCCTCTCAAGTTATTTCACAAAGTTAGACTAGTGTTAAGCTTAACAAGGTCTTCTTTCCCCATTGATTTTGCCAAGCTTGTTCCCTTGGCTGTGGCTTCATTGGATAGTTGACAAGGACAATACGAATCTCATTAATTCATTCATATGTGTAACTAATTAGATGATGAGGCATTTGGCTACCTTAAGAGAGTTATAGTTACTCCGGCTATTTACCTACACTTGGTTGAATTTTTTCACTTTGACATTCGAAGCACTGGGTAGAAATCACATTGTGTGAGCATCTGCAGGAACCATTGTAATTCTTTGTTTTAATTAAATAATCAAAATCCCTTTATCCATACCAGTTTTGAGCCAATTGTTCATATAGCCTAGGGAAAGCCTCTAAGGGAGTCATTCCCAGTTTGTCCCTTGATTAGCATATGGTGACCCATTTTCATTATGGGAATAGCATGTGCAATGTAATGGTAGCCAATAGGTTTAGGATTGGGGACCTCATGCCTAGCCCTCAGAGCAAATCTTTTTCTCGAGGTTATAAATCTATTTTTCCAACTTCCCTTGCCTATATTGTTCAATCAACCAAAACTTGTTCACCTTGGGGACTTGATGCAACTATGAGTACAACTAGGTGCAGATAGTACTCAATCCTTTAGATTTTCAAGGGCTACTAGGGATACATCAAACACTATGAACGTGCAGTGTTCTTTCGATTGTTAGACCCTTTCACCAGCTAAGTTGTTTCTAGGGTGGGCAAGCTATTAAATAGAAAAGATAACTCTTCTCGAGGCCCTTATCAATGTCTCCAGACTTATTAATGTTGCCATTAGCTGTCGCATCTCAATTCAAGAATTTTAACCTAATTCCCTTTTGAAGCTCATGCTGGATGCACTATTGGATGGGTTTTCCCCATCTTTTAGGATATTCTAATCTATGTGTTAGTGCCATTCACATGGAGTCTTCCCCCTCTTCAACCTTTAAAGTTTTCATTTGAATATTTGCTACTACCACCAAGATCTGCATCGATAGCCATTCCACCTTGGGTTTTATGGTGACCACAGTGCCTTTCTACTCATTGGGGCCTAGCCCTTGCCTTGACTACTGGTTATAGGTCACACATTTAAAGGCCATCCATTTTCAAAGCTAGTTGATTTGGCAGGTGAGTTGTTACATACTCCTTAGTGGATTTTGACTTCGATGACTACTATCTTGCTGTCTTAATTGACCAACACCCTTTGTGGGTTTTAGGTTAGTGCACAGTTGGGCATTCTAACCCAACTTTTGATTCATCCCATATCGCTAATTTTGCTTACCAAAAATGGCCCACTTAGAGCTCTCAATTCCACGGTGCAACTCAATGAAGCAGTTGCTCCATCTTACCTATTTAAAGTTTGAAAATAGGTTGAGGGCGTTGCACCTCCAATGCCTCTAATCATTGGCTTTACCCAATAAAACTCGTTAAGGGCTCTAGTTATCCTAAAGGATACTTAGAAAAGAACCAGCTATTAGATAGTTCAATTAGACTTTTGCCCCTATTCCTAAGTCTGACAAATGATTTGCACATAAGTATCACTGCAGGCCTCCACTAGAGTTTCGTCTAGCTTTGCCCTGCTCAACAATAGTTCACCATGTTTTGGATCTCAATAGGTATGCTCACACTCAAACCCTTTTCAAAAGGTTAAGGTCAGTCAGAGGTACACCTATGAAGGATCTTGCCAATAAGCTTCATTATGCCTTATGGGTTTTCTAGCTTGTTGACTCGTATACATGTCAAACTTCTTAGTACATGTTTCAAGACAAGTCAGATTGGAAGCCCACAAGCACATGCTACCAGCATGCTGATGATAAGGCATACCGAGATGGCGCATGTCACATTCCATGATCACAATGATGATGTCTCCATGGGCATATCAAAAGTCTAACCTGGGCTATCACTACGACACACATCGCTTCACTCCCTGAGCCAATCGATGATCAACTCTTGCCATTCCATATCTGAACAAGGCTTATTGCTAGCCCCCATTTGGTTCCTATTTGCTCTCACCCTCTCTGATGCCCCTTTCTAAAGGACTTGGGCCTAGTCCGTCACTAAAGATGTTTTTCCAAACTATAATTTAGATGCTGAAGGTGCTCGATTCTCAAGATAGGCTCTTTTTGATTCACTCATCATTACTAGAGGAATCTTAGTAAGTTTTTTTTTCCTCCACTTATTGATAAGCTTAAACATAGTGCATCATCTCACTTGACCTAGGGTCTCGATGCGAGCATCAATTGAACAATGTGGGAGGTCCAATGGGATCTAGATAGATAATAAGTGCGCATCATCAAAGATGAGGCATGTTAAAGCTTTACCACTGATGATCATGACACTGTCATTACCGAGAACTTGTTTTTGGCCCAACCATGATTGATAAGAACATGAGAGACTATCTTTTGCCCCCTCACTAGGAGCCTGATGGGTAGAGGGTTGGAGAGGGTAATGATGCATGACACCTAAGTAAGTGTGCCCTAAACCTAATGGCTTTGGGGTGGAACTTCCATTCAAAGACTCAATAGTTCATGGAATTCTACAATTCACACCAATTATCATAGTTTGCTATGTTCTTCATCAATGCAGGAGTTGAGATATCTATTGTTAAGAGTTGTTTTGGTCTTTTACAACAAAAGGTGTCTTGGTGCCACTTGTGTATGCACCATATATAGGATGGCAATAACACATGTGCTCTTTTTCATTCCAGTTCCTTGGCGTGATTCACACTAAGGGATTGTAATTTAATTGCAAGTAATGATACTAATTGTTTCACCCACCCAAGAGGTGGAACGAAGCGACTATTGTGCCAACCTAAGGTCAGAAAAGGCTTGAAGCATAGAAGCACCCTCACCCCCTTAATGTTTTGTTAACGAGTTCACAGGTCATTCATTGAGTGGGTTTCGACAATGATCCTTCTATAGTTCACCTATGAAAACCTTATTATGATTTCTCCTTCCTCTAAAAGATAAGGTTCAGTGGAGTTCTCATGATGTTACGGGCAGTGAACCATCTACATCACCATTATCCAAACACTTCATTAGACCATTCAACTAGTAGGAGTGACTGGTAGTGTATATAAAGGGTAGAGACATAGTCAATGTGAGCTGATGACTTACCCTTACTAGGAATTCCTTATTGAAGACTAAGAATTGCAATGATCTATCCCCATCATAATGAAATTTAAAAGATTACTCAAGCCTATTAGCCAAGGCTATAGACTTGTTGAATACACTAGTGTAGCATATGTGCAACCCAGAGCATCTAAAGGCAATATAGACCTATTATTGCCTTAAACTTCCCTAGCATAGTGGCTATAGTCTTTGTAAAAAACTAGCCATGAAGGATCACCTCCATTAGCTAGTTAGTAGGCTAAGGTCTTATTCGTTAATGGAATTAACCAGACAAATCACTCTACCAACTAAGTCTGACCCATAGCCCCTAAAGATACAACATAAATGAGGGATGGCAAGACATTCGATTTTCATCAATTTAGGCATGTGACATAGGATCCCAATGGCACGCCTAAGGTATGATGACCATATAGGGAAAGATTAAAAAAGATGATAGGTTGATAGTTTGATGCATTTAGCATAGAGCCTACCAACACGCACAACCATAGCACACTTATATGCCTATTGCATCCAAGTCGCAGCATCTATACACATCGATCCACAACCCACCCAATTGATTACTTAATAAGTGGAGGCAAAGACATATGAAGCCATGCCACAATCGCTTGGCAAGGGAAAAATACAAGCAAGGGCCATGAGATTGCCCTTGCCATCTAATAGGAAACAACTACAGACACCACCAATGCTTGGTTAGGCTATGACCGTGCAGGTAAACTTTGTTGTTACTACCTCATAGGGACTTTGCTCAATTCAAGTACTTGTTCCTAGGTCTTGTGCAACATCGGCTACATGCATAGGCTTGGCCAAGCCAATGCATTTTTGTGGTTGATAAGAAAAGACTACGAGACTACCAAATACTCGAGAGACTTGGTTAGACCAATCTCGTGACCATAGCTTCTACTTGCACCACCCTAAGGAGCCATTACCTAATTCAAGGACTTGGTGCCATAGGCACAAGTTTGAGTTTAGTAAAGCCAAGCCCTTTTCTCTGCATGCACACCAATACATTGAGGCTATAGGCACTTACGGGTCGTTAGAGTAATTAGTTGATAGACAACATGATTGGAAGGCATGCACAGCTTAGATTTTGCTCCAGGGACATTATCGTGGATGTACGTAATGGCAAGCCCATCATGTACACCTATTCCCTCATAGGGGATGAAGGGGGCTAAACTACAACCCTTTAAAGAGCATAAAAGATTTTATGGATATGCTAATAGTAGACATTAAAGTGTCTTAATGGGGACACTTTTTTCAAATAACCAAATCCTATACCAAGGGTTCGTAGGTACAAATGATGGTTAAGGCATATGCCAAACTAAGGCCTAACATGTGTCAATGGTGTTCGAGGCAAGTGCCTACAGTATGGGCCAACATATGTCAATGGTGTTTGAGGCAACTACTTGCACCAAAGGCCATCTTTTGCCAATGTTGATTAAGGCATGTGCTTGTACGAGGTCCAAATTATGCCAATGCTAATTGAGGCATGTCTTCTTACTAAAAGTAGCATCTATCGATGA